GGGCAAGAGTGAAAAACCTCACGCGCCTCATCAATCAGTCTCCTCCAAACACTCTCTTATACTGCGACGCCGCTTCCGCAGTTTTACAGTTGGAGCAGTGGTGAACAATGATCATGACGTAGTAGCCTCAACCAGCGTACCTACAAAGAACATATCTGAGGGCAAAGAGTGTGCCGTTGCTCTGGCGATTTCCCACGCTGCCATAAACCTTCCTCAAACAGATATTATAATCTTTACAGATTCAATGAATAGCTGCCTTGCCTTTACACGGGGTATTGTCTCACAGCCCACACACCGAATTTTGAACACTACATTCCACACGCCACACAAGTTCCAACTTGTCTGGACCCCTGGGCATGCCTCTCTTTCCAGTCATGACTGCACTCAGGCAGCTAACCGAGCACTCACTAACCGGGATGCCGAGAAAGAGCTATCCACCCCAGATGAGCACACAAACATGGAACTTCTAGGATGCCGAGACCCTCTCAATCACTACAGACAAGAACTCATTCGGTGCCCTACACCACATCACATGCTCACACGAGAGGATGCAACTGCGGTGCGTCAACTGCAGGCGAACACATTTCCGAACCTCTATTTCCTCCACATCTTCCATCCCACTTCTTACCCTGACAAATGCCCTGGCTGTGCAGCAGTAGAGACGTTATTTCACGTAATGCTAGAATGTCAGCGTCCGCCTGCCAGGCACTCTGCCAACTCCTCTCCTATTCCTACCCCACAAGACTGGGAGGCCATGCTGCGCGATGAAAGCCCGAGTGGCCAGCAGACGCTAGTTCGGCGGACGCGGTACGCAGAAGCCGCTGTTGGAGCTCTGGACTGAGAGCCCAACCCAACATTTCTCTGATTAAAATAAAAAGTTTCTCTCTCTCTCTCTCTCTCTCTCTCTCTCTCTCTCTCTCTCTCTCTCTCTCTCTCTCTCTCTCAGCCACTCTGGCATTGACCGTATTTGCCTTCGGGAGGCTCGAATATTTTGAATTGTAAATTTCCAGAGTAAATTGAATCAAACAGCAAAGACTATTCCAGAAATATTCAAAATTTCTAATGATTGCACACCCCTTGTAATTTTCCTTGGCAATCTGAAACCCAGTAGTTACTACCCAAAGGTGAAATTCAGCGTCCAAGACAACATGATACGCAGCTAGGTCCCTTATTACGAAATTTCTTTATGAGCAAGATAGTGTGGAGGCGGTCTGGATATAATACAGCAAGCTTGACCGTGAACAATCTTGGCAATATCATCAGCACACACTTCGACGGGTCGTGGATGACCGCGGACATTTGTCCCGCATTGCACTTGGCACTGTTGTACTATTCTCCGGGCTCGTCTTGGACCACGTTCTAGAGACCGAATAAAGAAACACGCTCAGCCTGGCTCAGCGCTGTTGAGCTGTTTAGAATACATACTTGGCTTGGATTAGAAAGCGACAGTGAATTCGCACCCCCTACTGGGAGCAGCGACCCAGAGTTCCTGGGTTACTAAAAACCGATCTCGAAGGCCATGCTTTTGCATGATGCGATCGGCAACGGCCGTACGCACGCAAAGTAAGTCAATGTGGCCATGTTTTAATTTAACGTCACCATTACTAGCTGTTGTAGTCCAATCGTCAAAGCCAGTGTATCGAACGTCTGCGTGCACGAAATTTTGCCAATTTTCGGCGTGAGCATGAATAACGAGAACGAAAGTAGTACGTAGTAACCATATGTAACACCACAAGCGACTACAGCTTAAGCCGTTAACCAATACATGGGGTTCAATGGAGACTGGGTGGGGGATTCCTTGCGACTACGTATAAACCGCAGTTACACATTAAGCGGGTACGTTTTGCGGGGAGCTGAGGTGCGCCCGCGACCATTTCGCGGGCATTTCGCCGCACGGCCGCATCCTTTCGCTTTTCCTGCTCTGGTAACGGCCCATGGCGATAGATGGCGCCACGTGCAGGCGCGGCACAAGTTACGTGCGCACCGAGAGAGCTCTCTCTCCTCCGTGGTCGGCACCGGGTAAGCACGTGTTTCTTTCCTCCGCGTCCCCTTTGGGAATCGCCGGACTGTAGCCTCCCTTAGGGTGCCTTGGCATCCCGGCAGACGTGTTAACTTGAGTGCTAGCTTCGGTACCGTACGCTAAGCCAACAGCGGTGCCTAGTGGTTCAAGTGGTCGTACCACACCGAGCCGCACTTGCTGTAGGCCTACGCGTATGAGGTTTGCCCTAACACTCGCGACCAGGCCCAGTGGCCATCGTGAGAGTGCGCAGCATCGCTGCGAGGGACCTTTTCCCGACCGGCGTGTCAAAGCTCGCCATTGCCAGCGGCGACATGCTCGCGGTTTCCCCTTATCGTGAACGTTCGCGTGCGGGTGCCTTTGCACTCCGCATCCCGGGAGCGGACGTTGTACTGTTGCTTGGGGTGCCGCCAAAGGCAATAAAGTGTTAGTGTATTCCTGTTACTCGAACACTGTCTGTTTTGCCGCGCCGCGCTAAACACCTTGTTAGTTGAGCGCGCGCGGAGCGGTGCGCTATACTAGAGATGGTGACGGAGTCGCGGCCCTGTGGCTCTCTAAGCGTGAACCTGCGGTGATCATCCGCTACGGTGGGTAGCGAGGTCACCATAGTATTAAAGAGGTTTGACTGTATGAATGAAGCCTGGTCATCAAGGCATAAATTGCATACGAAAAAAAGAACAGCGGGGATCAGTTTCACCTTCACACAAAGGTGCATCTGCAGACGATGTGCAGCAAACATTGCACACCACATAAAGGTGGTGGGAGCCAAATCGACTAAGTGATTTGCAAAAGCATATTAGTGTTTTGCAAGTGAAATTAGTGCATGTGTTTTTACTCTCGTGTGTAATTAAAGCGTGTTTTTTTTTCTTTCTTTTCTCAAAATGTAAGTAATGGTCTTTCACAGCATTCAGTTCTACGATATCTCAGTTCCAGATTCTGATACACTGATAGAGTCAAACTCCGCTTCAACGAACTCTGCCACAACGAACCACTTTTTTAGTGTGCTCTCAGTTCAATGAAATTTTCCTGGGACACAAGTTACTCGACCAGCCACAAATTCAACCACGCTAGCTTACCAGAGTAAACTGAAGTGACAACACTTTTAATACTTATAAACGGCAAGAAAAAAAAAAAGAAAGTGCACACGACAGCGGCTGTTTTTGCATTTATGTTTTTTTTTCTCTCGCTGTCTCTAACAGGAAATTTTTATTAGCTGGCCCAGATTAAGTCTATATTAAACATTTTCTTAATTATCCGACAGCTAAAACTATCGTAAATGCACTAAAGTTGATTTAAGTCCACGTAGCCCGCCGAATGCTGCAAATCGATGACACTACGGAGGTCGCATCGTTAGTGGTTGATGACGATGCTTCACAGCATTCCGTGAAGCATAGAGTTATGCCGTGAAAGTCTGCGAGCTTGGCCAGCTGAAGCCAAGCCGAATCTACACGTTGGAAATTGACTTCTGGCTCGTCCTTTTTTTTTTTTTTTTTGCCTGTTCTGTGGCAGTGTTAGCCCTGGTTAGCGCCTCGTGCCTCGTCTCGTTGGCTCCGTAGATGAGTAGTCCAACACCTTGTTAGCTTTGGTCTACATATTAAATTTTGTTTTTCTTGATCTACGGCAGTGAGGGCTTATGGCGGCGCCACAGAGTAAGAAACGGAAGTTTCTTTCCCTAGAGCAGAAGGTGAATTGCCGCAGCAGCAGCAGGAAAAAAATAAATAAATGTATCGCCGAGGAATACGGTATCTCGCCGAGCTCGCTGTCGATGATAATGAAATCCGATGCGAGCATCTCAAATGCGCTAGCGTAGGGCACGTCTGCCCAACAGAAGAAGACGACCCAGCCAGCCCATAAAGAACTTGAGAAGGCGGTGTAGGCCTGGTTTTACAAAACGAGGGCCAAGCAGATACCGATCAGCAGTAGCCTAATTCAGCAGAAAGCAAAGAACTACACCTGCATTTCAGGCATCAATAAAGACTTCAAAGCAAGTGCCGGGTAGCTCAACCAATTTAAGGAGTGCTGAGATTGTTGGGAAGGTGCTGTATGGAAAATGGGCTTCTGCAGACTGCGATAGTGCATCACCTTGAATCGCGTCGAACGCCGCTGACATCGTCGAGAAGTTTGCTGCATCCGATGTGAACAATGCGGACGAGACTGGGCTCTTCTACGAAATGCTACAAGCAAAGACGCTTGACTTCAAAGGCAAACAGTGCCACAAAGGCAAGCAGAGCAAAAAAGGGAGTCACCATGTTGCTCTGTGGAAATATGGACGGGTCCGACAAACGGCCCCTTCGTTATCGCCAAGAGCGCCAAACCGCGATGCTTCAAAAGCACGACAAACCTGCCAGTGAAGTCCGTTGCTAACAGACGTTCATGGATGACGAGGGCCATTTTTGCCAACTGGATCGTTGCGTTCAACAACATGAAAAAGCAAGACCTCAGTGTTTGCTTGCTGCTGGACAATTGCTCAGCACATTGCCTGGACAGCGACGTCAAGCTGATGGGCGTTGCGGTAAAGTTTTTTCGCCGGACAAGGGCACCAGGCGGAGGAGATGGCCATCGCCTTAGCCGTCTCCCCCCTCCCTGGATGCACTACAGTACTGTGCGACTCTAGAACGGCAATGAACTATGCCAAGGGGAGGATATGAAGTGAAGCCGCGCGCATACTGTCCAAGGTCGAAGACCCCCTCAAGAGTATGCGCTAAAAAGTACAAACATGCCGAAAATAAGTTTTGCAAAAAAATAAAAAAGCCATTTTTGGCCATTTTTTTTATCATTTTAAGGCCCACATTTCCCTTTATCTAATCATTGAACTTCCCACAATATTTTTTTTTTTCATTTCATACAGCACAAGTTTGGGTTTTATGCAAACTTATTGTCAATCCTTCAAATTTTAGGTAAACTTGCTGGACTCACATCCACCTGCACATGAGTGAAACAAGAAGTTTGAATTACTACACAATCAAGGAAAGCGAGACAGCACCTTGCTTGAGCAGCTACAGGGGTAGATGGAATAGCAGGTTGCTGTCGCGGTGCTTGTGCTTGCGGGGCAGCTCGTGGTAGCTGTGCTGAAGTAGATGGCATCTGCCCAGCTGGCAACAACTCAGCTGCTCTCATGGTCCTCCCAACTTGTGCTTGCATCATACTGCGCCCGAGTGCTCCACCTCTCTCAGTCATCTGCGGGGCACCTGAAAACAGAAGTAACAACCGCGATGCATTAATAATCAAATGCCCAGGAACACATTTTTCTATCTGCACCTACCTCCAGTGATAGCCTTATCAACTACTGTTACTCATAGTAAACAGAAAACTGAATTATCATTACTGCACCTATCCCCAGTGATAGCCTTATCAACTACTGTTACTCATAGTAAAGAGAAAACTGAATTATCATTACATTTTCTTTTATGCTTTGAAGATAAACAGTTGGCATGTGTTGCAAAGTGTTCTAATTATTTCTTCAAAAAATTTCCTAAATAGATCTTTTGTTTCAAATGTAGAGGGGGGGAAATTTCCCTCAGGTTCAACATTCTAAAACTTTGCTTCAAAATATCTCAGAATAATTATATACTTTACAGCAACCTGTGAACATCCCGAAAGGATTATATGGGTTGCATATCAATCTGAAAGTAGCAGTTATTTAGGCCTTCCATTAAAGAAGTGGCAGTCCAGGATATCTCTAAACTAATTGTCGCTGCATAAAAGAATTAGATTTTTGAAATCAGCAATAAAAACTACAGTAACTGTCCAAATTTAAGGGGAGAAAAGACTTTCGTATTGCAAAAAAAAATGGCAAAGAAAAAAATTTTTTAATCGAATTTTCAGTTTCTGGAACTATTCTACAAGATTCCAAAATATCTACAATGAAAAACGCGCAGAAGTGCTTCAAAAAATTTGTTTCGCCCTTCTAGGTAGCAAAAGTTATTCTGTAAATTGTGAGAAAACAGCGATTTTCAAAAAATTGTGGTCAAACCTTGCTACAACGAATGCCGCTTCCATGAAATTTCCGCTGCGCCGAAAAATTCTCGGTTCCCCGTCAGCAGTCCGTAAGAATCAATGCATATACATGTTCGCCATAACAAGCACTTTTTCTTCCGCAGTCCCGCTTCAACGAAATTTGACAGTGCGATTCCAGGCTTGGATATTTAATGCTATGCAGTAAACACAATCTTACATTTTGATACATTTTCAGAACCTGAAAATACGTCAACAAAGTCTAAAGAAACACATTGGCACCACCAGAAGCCGCTGTTTACCAAGCATGGACGCCGCCATTGCTCGATAGCGATGGCAATAAAACTGCCCTGCTTTTGCCACTGGCTTTCTTTTGAGCTGCAGGCAATCCGAAGCTGAAGCTCAGTCGCTCAGTTCATGGTTTCCTTCATGCATCTGCTGGGTGCAATCATGAAAGAATGCCTTTTCAAATGCCAATGCTCATCATTCTATTTGCGCTTGGCCAGTTAGGTAACTATTCAGAGCGGCTGTTCGTCCGCATTATCAACAAAATCAGCCAGCCGCGAGCGATGAATGACAAGAATAGCGTAAATCAAGGCAAAAGTCACCACTGCACAATACCCCGCCTCGATCTCGGCGTTGTCGGATACACTTTGACGGCGCACAGCTGCTGGTATTAACATGTTCATGCAACTGTTAGGTTCGTTCATGAGAGCCATTGTGTCCATTGCTTCAGCGTGCTTTTCACCATGACGTCGCAGTGCATGGGTGAGAATCGCATCGTGACGCTCCTAGGAAGAAATATGAAGCAGCCAACACTTTTTCAATTTCGGGAATAACTGTTCGTTTGTTTCGCTAGCTCGATCAGCTATAATTTTTCGATTTCGCTACAACGAAATTTTCACTTCAACGAAACTTTTTCCCCGCCCCGTCAGTTTCGTTGTAGCGGATTTCAACTGTAGCTTTGTGATGGTGCGGCCAGGAACCAGCTTCTTGGGCTCATCGGAAAGAGTATTTCTCAATGTTCAAATTCACCGCTTCAGATCGCTCCTCCGTTCAAAAAGAACCACACAAAAAGCAAATACTTGACAGACGTTACAAGGCCTCCCATGGGTCGCGTCCGCCATGTTGCCTCAGCTTGCCTCGCCATCAGCCCGATGCTCTATCCGGGAGATCGTCTGCTGCTTGTGCGTCGCGAGAACACGGTTGACAAAAATTGCTACTTCGTGACGTGTTCGTGGCTGGACGATCACTTAGGATATAATTCCGCTTCAGTTAGGAGCTGTAAGCAGATGCTCGATCAGCTTGTGCGTCCCGAGGACACGGCTGTCAAAAATCACTACTTCGTGACGTGTTCATGGCTGTACGATCTCTTAAAATATAATTGCCCTTCAGTTAGGAGCTGTAAGCAGATGCTCGGTCAGATTACTATGGTGTGCCAAGCTCATAGACAGCGCACCGCGCCATCAGTCATCTTTAGGCCTAACTCCACTGACGGCGAGACAAACCTTGAACTTAGCAGGCAAGAACAACACGCTAGCGCACTCTTGGCAACGTGCTTCTTAGCAAGCGACAAAGCACATCCAGATCGCTCGCTGGCTGTACTCATAACTGCAGATGCGCATTTTATGCATCGGCAGCAGACCCCACAATCAAAACAAAGAGTTCTAACATTTTTAACAGTAAAAATGTATGTACGTAGAATTACATAAGTGATCAACACATATATGTACTCATAACCGCGGATGGGCATTTTATGCATCGGCAGCAGACCCCACAATCAAAACAAAGAATTCTAACATTTTTAACAGTAAAAATGTATGTACGTAGAATTACGTAAGTGATCTACTCATATATGCATACCTGCCAAGTTCAAAAAGTCCTAATCCGGGACCGGGAGATTTCCGCAGCGGGGGGGGGGGGGGGGGTGCAATGAATTATTTGCTATTTTTTGGCATAAAAAAAAAACCATGGACAAACAAGCAAAAAAAAAACGTCACGAAAAACAAGAGAAGGTGGGCCTCATTCGCAAGCGCCAATATCAGTGATGCGGTCTTATAGTGGCTTGGAGTGGCCGAACACACGAGGGTAGGATTCCCACTAAGATGAGAATCTCGAAGGATCAACACAGCTAGCAGAATCTATTTCCTTCAAAACAACTCGCGCATGTCTTCCTGGGACACACGTGAACGGATGGGACGGTGAAGCTGGCTGCCACAAAAGCGCGGGTCAAAGCTTTGCTCATTACTAGATTCTTTTGACAGGAACGCCTAAAACGCGTCTGGCCCCTTTTTATTGCGATAGCAGTTATATGGACAGTCTAGGCTGATGTTTCGCTGTCGCCGCCGTCATTCGCCCTATATGTATACGTATCTATATACCGTGTATATGAGCGCTCAAGAAGAAAAAAAGGCACCTGCACTCCGCGCCCAGCTCCTCACGATGCGATGCGTGATTATCTTTCATGATGGGATGCCCCGCGGATAGGGGGAGGGGTAGATGCTTATCTTTTGGTGGGGAGAATCGTGTGCCTTCCGCTTTCACTAGAACGATTGCGTTAGTTGCCCAACCCACAAAGGTCACTTTCGTCTCTGCACAGGTCCCCTTGGTGAAACGAGGGCGCTTTTCATACACAGCGAGGTATAACTGGGACACTTGTTAGCTCGCACTACTCAACTGTACTTGTGATTACGTATTGTGCATTGTTTTTCTTTAAACAGCGCATTACGTGTCAAGCGGTAAACGTTAGTTCGCTCTCGTCCCGTGTGTATCGTTTTCGTGCGTAATTTGCGAGTGAGCAGCGCGCTGCATGTTTCGAACTGCTTGCCGTTCTCAGCGAGGCCCTCCAAGTTGTTGCTATCGCATTTATTGCTTCGCCCTTGAGGCAAAACTGTGACTTTTTTTCACGTATTTACAGCCTCTAATCTACAGCTGCATGTCCTCGGAGCTCGTAGATCGCTATCGCGTCACCGCGACCGCGGTTATGCATGCGGTGGTTGTGGAAAACGGTAGTTCCTTTTACAACCCCAGTGTGCTTATGTGCGCACGCGCCTTCAAAAATAAGTCACTTTATGCCATCTACGATCGCATCTGCCACAGTTTTGTCCGCAGAGTTTGCGGAGAGCAGCGTTGCTTTGGCTGGTCGAGCGCACACTTTCGGGGTTCTGTCAGTTACGTCGTCGCCATACATGATTGCGTCAAGAGCGACCAAGGTTTCGTCCACAGCGGTTGTGGCAACAACAATCACAATCGCACGCACTGTAGAAGACAGTACAAGCCCTGGTCGCACGCGTACTTCCGAAGATTCGTGTACGCTGCTCTTGGCCTTCGTTTGACGATTTCCGTAAAAAAGTCCGTATCACCCGCTGCGATTAGGAAATGTATTCGAAACATTCGAATTTAGGCCCGATAGACATAGTGGAATTTGGCTGGGGAATTTCACGAATTCGTATCTGCCGCGGTTTCGCATCACTGAGATTTTACTGTACGTTTAGATGAACACCTCTTAAACTCATTCGTAACAAAATGGGGAAGGTTAACAAAGCCTGGAGCGTACCGAGCTGCTTTTTTTGTAAATGCGGCCAGACCACGCATAGAAATTTCGATTTACGGGAGATTTTCATGAAAACCGTACAAACTGAGGAAACGGTCCGAATCTGGGAGACTTGGCAGGTATGTATATGGATACTAAAAAACCTAAGGAATGCAACGCTGCAAGTTGATCGAAAATTGAAGAAGTACTTCTCGAATTACAGCACAATAAAGTTCATTGCATGTAACCAAGAACAAAAAAGTTTATATTAAAATCAAAAATAAATTGGAGCCGCACATTAAAAATTGGCTCTCAGCGGTTTTTTTTTTTTTTTTTACCCACATTTAGCTACATTGTGCAAAAATAATTACAGCTCTAGCTATCCTAGGTCCACTTTGACAGAACAAGCAAACAATGAAAGTGGTCAAAATCTGTGTTTTCGAAAAAAATACTGTTAAAACTTTATTTTGCCGTTTTGAGTGAAAAATATCATGGCACACATACTTTTAGTCAGTTAATATGCACAGGGAATGTAAACGGACGGATTGTTTGCATGAGCGTGTCGTTTCTTCAAACCCTTCTGCAAGCTGTCACGACGTGCTCGTCTGCTGACAAAACTGCTTATCAGTTCAGTGACTGTACTGACGCCGATGTGCGACGAATGCACACGTGTCATCCGCAATCTGTCAAATGACACGGCGA